GGTCATTTTGACCCGATTTGATTTTGGAGTTGTCGGAAATATCACTTAACTTGTAAAGTGCAAAGTTTTAACACGCTGATGTGTTTTGACATGTCCACAAAAAATGTTGTTATGTTCGTACTGTTCCCGGGTCAATTTGACCCGCCTGTTTTAATGTTCTAAGGCAACTCTACAGAACCAAAATAACATTTATTGGTTAGATTTATTTATTTTTTTTTACTATCCTATGAAGCTAAAAAGGTGCTTTTCCCCACTTATTTCAATGCAGAAAAATATTTTGTCTGCCACAGATGGTAAAAATGAGCTCTTTTATTTTTTCAGTCTATCTGAAATGATATTTAACCCATGTTGTTTTTCTTGAAATTTTGTTACTTTTCCTCATTTAGGGTCACGAATGAACACTGATGTGTTGTGAAATGTACATACAGAAATTGTTATACGTTTGTGATGTTCACGGGTCAATTTGACCCGCATAGGCAGCCATTCAAAAGCAACTGTACAGACACAAAATAACAACAAATTCCTTATTGTATGTCAGAGCTCCTCAACTCTAGTGCTGAAGTGCCTCCGAGTGCCAGTGTATTGATGAGTTTAACAACTTTTTAATTTCAAAGTTTGTGAAAACAAGACTCTTAAGCCTTTTTAACTGTAAGTCCCACTTTTTGAGCATAGACATAAAAATGACTTTTCCAGCTAAAATTGTTAGAAATCTTGAATACTTTGTAGCACAGACTTAAGTTTGGTATCTTTTTAAAGGTGAAACATCACAGATTATTGAAGAAGTTAGAAGAAAAACAGTTATAAAAGTAAATTTATAAAAAGTTATAGAAGTTTAAATTTATGAAAATGTAAAATATCACAATTATACAAGGCATGTTTACCTCCAAATCTTCAAGAGAATCATAGCCAATCATCTGAACAAGTTTAGGTTGATACCTCAAAAAAATAATTATAAGTAAGATTTTGTGGATGCAGTACCAAACTTTTCCACTTGATGATTTACAGGGACTCTTGATTTCCATTTATTGTTTAAGTGTTCTGAACCATATATTTCCATAATTTTCAAAATATTTATGAAATAGACATCCTATTCAGAAATAGTTCGGGCAGCAACTTTAATATTTGATTTGAATTCAATCTCTAAAACACATAAAAACGTAAGTATAGAATAAGAGTGTGTTTGGCATCATATCACAAATGGAGAATCTATCGCTATTTATCTATTGCTCTATCATTTCTTTAAAAAACAGTCACCAAATATGAAAACTAGTGTCCAAATCCTTTCAAATGATATATAGTTTGTCAAGATTACTTTAAATTTAGACCAAGATATTATCATTAAAAATGTGTAATCGCAAACATCCCACAGGTGTAGGGGAGGGGCAGTCAAAAATAGTGGTTAAAAACATTTTTATAAATCATAAATTCAGATATTCATTCTTTGCAATGTGTGAAAAGTATTGATATTAAAAGTTAATTGATTGTACTTGATTGTGTTTTTTTTTTATATCATAATTTTTGTGGAATTACATTGAATCCAATACGGGTCAATTTGACCCGGATGATACTGGAAGTCACCTGTTTTTGAACAGTACATGAGGGATATAGACGCTGGCGTACACGGCCCTCATAGAACGAGGGGGCCCCTGACCCAGTTATGACCCGCTTATATTTTGAGCCAGTTATGTTATGATTAAATTTGTGTTAATTTTCTAAATGATAGAAATAGAAGTATTTCAGTACCGGTAAGTATTTCACCTGAGAAAAGGATCAATTAAAAAGTATGTAAGTCAGGCTGATTTACAAAAATATACTCTGTCTGCATGCTGTCACCACCTGTGGGCGGGGTCTGAAGATTTATGAATATGTTGCATTTATCTTCATTTTGTAAATGTAAGTCAGAACTAGAAATTACTTTTTAACAGCAGTCATATCAGTATGTTCCAATAAAGGACTTTTCAGTGTTATCGATTGGTTAAGAAAGAAAAAAAAAGCCGAAATATTTCAGCTGACACATTATAGATAAATTATCATATGACCCATTATTAGTTCTAGTTGACATAAATAAATAAATAAACTTTTAAAATGGAAAATAAAATAATAATATAATAAAATAATTTTAAATTAATAATTATTAAATATTATATATTTTTAATAAAAAATTCTGAGATTGATCTGAGATTTTGAAAGGCAAAACCATTAAATAAATAAATAATACATAGCGATCTAACATTTTAAGGTGAGCATTTTCTTTTCAGTCAGTCAAAATGTAGATTGATATCTAATATATGTCAATATATTGGTTATCGGCTTCAGAATATAAGTATTATTGGTCATTGTTTAGAAGATTCTACATATCATTGCATCCCTAGTCAGCATCTTCCATTTTATGTGTAATTCTCTGTTAATCATCCATGTTCAGTGTTTCCACGTGGAGTGTAATTGTGCTGAGGTAGACTAATTGTGGTGCGCATTTCTCACACATTGTTCACGCCGTAAGCATGTTCTGCATAAGCACCTGTTTCATGATAACGTGTTTTGCTTTTGATGGCTTAATTGTGCAGGCCTGCTGGTGTTGAATTATATTCCACAAGGCGCTCACTCGAATCAGGTACGATCAGAGGGAAGTGCTGTGGCAGACCGTACGCCTGTACTGCCATTCATCACGCCCCACACAACGCTCCTCATTATAAAGCTCCATTTCTACAAAAGCAAAGAAAAAACACAGCCTCTCCTACACACTTTTTCATTCTCAATTTCCCTCTTGTTTTTTTTTTTTCTACCCATCTGTCTCGTTCCCTGGTCTGTTTCCCCTCTATCCCTGTTTCTGCTATACTCTTTTGCCCTCAAAAGCTTTGCTTTGTTCCTCTCAATCTGTTCCTCCCCACCCCCGTTTACCCCCCTCCTCTTCTCTTTAGCTGAGCTCTAGTATTAAGGTACAGCAGCGGTGGATATCAGTGTCACGCATGCTGTGCTTTAGATGTGTGTGTGTGGCATGTGTATTTGTGTCTGTGGTTGAGGCAGCATAGCTTTATCAGTGAGTTAAGCACTGACTGTTTTGACTCTTTAAGGAGGCCAGCTGTATCTGTAATCCCACCCAGCTGATTGTCACTAATCAGAGCTGTCTTTCTCTCTTGGCTTCTTCAATGTATCTCACATCAACTGGGGAAGAGGATGGATAGGATCATTAACTTTTCTTGAAGATAGCGCTAGCCTTGTGGCCTGCAACAGTAAGGTTGCTGGTTTAAAAAGGATTCACTATTCGTAGAGTTACTGAAGGCAAGGTATTATGTATTGCCATTGTGCACTTAAACACGCCATTCAGTCCTGTTGTGAAATGCTTTGAATGAAATGGGCCTGTTAAATGACAAATCCGCCCACAGTGGTGTCATGTTGTCCCTACAAATTAAGAAAGTATTTACAGTATCTGGATCAGGTCTAGGTACATTGGCCCTGGCTTCTGGCCACCTTAAGCTTAGCCACCAACCCCTGCAGCCCACCTGACCTTCAGATCCAAGCTTTGTAATTTTCCCAAGATTTCTACTGTATGCTGATTAGTAGGGTTTTCATTTAGGATTGAAATCAGTGCATATACTGCATAATAAAAATAATAATAATAGTTGTAATTGTACTTTTTAAAAAATGTTTTTAATTTTCATTGAAAAATAAATGGTTAGATTAAATATAACAAATCACGATTTAAGATAAGCACATTATCCAGTATCCATTTTAATGTCCAGGTATTCAACACAGTCATTCCATTACATCTGTTTTGATGTATTGTGATTATATAAGAAGTTGACATAGGCTTCAACTTTGGCACCATGCCAGGTTATATGAATGTGTGTGTGTGTGTGTGTGTGTGTGTGTGTGTGTATTGCGTAGGGGCCGGTCAGAGTGCTTGCTGTCTGTTATTGCTACAGCTTGGCTAATTTGTTCCATGGCTTGCTCTCCATGTTGGTTATTAGCAGGGGGTGAGCATTGTCCTTCATTACCCTAATCGCTGTGAAATGACTCCAACGGACATTATCCAGGCCTGAATATAAAGGAGGGAGTGCATACCGCACATTAGGAACTGTTGTTAAGAAAGAAAGAGAGGTCTAGGTAAATACAGGTCTTTTTCTTCTTGCATTGTAAATGATTATAAGCTTAAATAAGCTAATAATTAGTCTTCAAAGTTTTAGTGTGTTTACTTCATTTAGCAAGTATGTTTACTAAGATAAAAATGTGTATGCTCATGTAAACATTACCAACTGGGCTATTTATATGTTTGCTCATTAGCATTATGCACACCTTTACTGGTTAATCTCTCTATAATTCTCTTTATACAACAGTTTCTTGAATTTGTCATAATAGAATGACGAGCTAGGCTCCTAGCATTTATGGAAAGGTGTGATTCCCCAGTCTGTTTCTGTAATGACTGTGGAGACAGCATCTCATAACACTCATAACACTGCACCCCTTCTATGGTTTGGATATCATCAAGGTCAGAGTGAGCTCACATTAAATATTCATGGGGGATTTTACTACTCTCATTCGGTTGTTTTTTGCCATCCTCTCTCTCTCTCTCTCTCACTATCCCTCCCATCGGATTCGGACCCCCTCCCTTCACCTTTTCCCTTTCTCTCGCTTCTCTTTCACACTCACAGCGTTATCTTTCCTTTGCATCTCTTTATAGCTTTTAGTCCCAGCTGGTGCAAGTGACTCTGGTGTCTCTGCATCTAGCAACCAATCCCAAATCAGCACACATACCACAATGATGCACGTGCTTCTTACCTCGGCCCCCGGCACCTTACCCCAGTGCCCTATTGTGTGAAGAATAGTGCAACCCTTGATAGCAGGGCAAAGTGATAACAGAGAGTGATTGCAGGTTGATGCTGGATTAGTAAAGGAGAGCAAGACCGTATGAGTGAGCGCGAGCGAGAGAAAGAGAGAGAGGAGGGGGAATGGGAGGTGCTGTATCAGCCAGGCTGAGCCAGGACGCAGTAGCCGCACAAGCAGCGTGCTGAGCTGAGGGATCTATTGTTCCTCTGGCTTTTTTATTTTTTTCTCCTCCACTCAGACCTCATTCTTCTCCACTGACCCAGAGAACACACCGAAGAAGAAATAAAAGGAGGGAAAATAGAAGAGTTAGTGGAGAAAGATAGAGACAAGTGGATTACCCTTTCCTGGAGGAACCACGTACAGAAGAGTGAGAGGGACAATAGCAGGCACACTTTCCCCTGTGCCGCATCTTCTTGTGCATACATCTCCTGCTGAGTGTGTGTGTATCGTGTGGGTCTGTTTGGCCAGACTTGAGCCGTGTGGATCTATCTGGCCGGGCTGAAGTCATGGGGCTGGCCAGCAGGGCGGCAGGAAGAGGGGGCACTTCAGCAGGGGCTCTTGCCACCCTCTTCAGAGTAGCTCTGCTCTTTTTTGGGCTTTGGGATGTCCAGACACAAACAGTCGCCAACACAAAACCCACCTACATCTGGCAAACAGGTATGGCTGTTTTATCTAATCACAAGTCTATGCTGAAAATCTTAAATGTTGGTTGGTTTTTTTGAGTGTGCTCTGTTGTGCTCAGAGACAGGCTTGTGATGAGAAATTGATGCTGACTTCACGCCATAGTCAAAATTAGATTGTCCCAGTGGAAGTGCATTCATTGGAGGTTACTTTTAATAGGCAATGGTAGCTATATGTCATTGTGCATTCAGGGTACAGACATTTTATAAATACGTCCCGGCACTTATTTCTTGTCAAAACCTGTACTGTTGCTGAAGAGTATTTTCATAGTATGTGGGATGGTCTTCGATTCGCTGGTAACCCACCACACTTTTATGAAATGTGTAGTCGCATGGTACATCCTGCAAGATATGAGGAATGGTTGATTCTTTAAAGCAAGCTTGAACTTGATTAGTGTGATTATGTATAGTGTGACAATAATTAAGCACATGAATATCCATGCAATGGCTGTAAATATGCTTTCCAAAAGCAGAATGGTCAAAACGACTAGTATGATGCCTTGAGAATACATTGCCTACAAGGTTTGGTAGGTGAATCTTGGAGCTGTTTGAAGTACCTGCAGAGTCATGCTCTGGTTAAGATATGTGTTCAGTGGAAAGTAGAGCAGATGTCTTTTTCTCAGTGTTGCTAGTGAGCGTTATTTGGATTTGAGGTAGTATTGGGGTGCAGATTTGATGGGACATCACCGGCAGTGGAAGTGGGGGGTTAGAAGAGGCTCAAGGGGGTGAGTCTGTTTTGGGTACATGTTGGGATGGGGAGGGGTGGGTTGAACTGGGATGCATAAATGGTTCCTCTGGTCTGGCCACAGATCGATGGGTCATTTGGCCAGGGTCTCAGGCGGGAATGGATGGAGAATCTCTGGATCAATGAAGAGGGTGCAGTGGGGCCACTGGTGTCCTGCTGGAGTTGATCAATGCACAGCTTCATGGCTGGACAGAAGTGAGATCCTGCAGGATCAATGGTGAATTCTGAACACTCTGGTCTAACTCAGAAAGAGCCTGATCAATGTGTGGGGTACAAATCTAGAGAACTAGGTGTTCAATAGATCCATGGATCCAAGAAATGGGTGAAGATTATTTTAAGAGCACACTATAAAACATCTGCTGTTTATTTGACAACTCAAATGCCGTTCTGTCCTGCAAAGTGACTGTTACTTTTATTCTAGTTTGTCTTCACGTTGATCTGCTTGTTTAGTGTAGTGTTACTGGTACTGAAGTGGTACTGGGAATATCATTGTAGTGTGGTGCAGTATCCTGCCCCCACTACTGTAACTGAGTGCAGGAGATTAAACATGGGGTGAGGGAGGACAAGCAGATTGGCTGAAGCAAGTTAACCTACATACAGCAAAGCCTCACTTTTGCATTTCCCATAAATACACACATAGTAAGTCCTAAAACTGAGCCCAAGTGTTTGGCAAGTGCTTGACCTCAGAATCCCAAGCTAGGCCAGTTAAGCAAATCTCAAGCTTTTGTGGAAAGCATCCATCTCCTCCTGTTGTTGTTTCTTTGCTTCCAGTTTTCCTATAATTTACTCAGTATTTTTAGTGTTTTGATATGTAGGGACACGAGGGGAAAACGGGAAGAGACTTGTAGAACAGTGTTAGCTGCAGGGCTCATATGGGACCAAGTCCATTTTTTTGATGAGAGCACAATAAATTTTGTGGCTATGACAAATGGCCCTGGCAGTGTGCATCAGTACAGAGGCTGATGTTCACCAGTCAGCAGAGAGTTTATTGTAGGAAAACATTTTCTGTAGTTCCCCTTGGATGGTCCTATATGGAGAAGGGTGGTGGCATCACTTTTGACACTTTTATTATTATACAAAACATAATTTAATATTTAATCAGATGTAATACATTTTTAATGTTTTGAGATATGTACCTTGACAACACACTGTAACTTTCAGTTCTCAAAACATCCTCCTCAGTTTTATTGAAACTAGGCTGCAAAATGACTTTGCTCATCTGACAAATCAATACATCAACACCAAATATTGCCACCATATTTACATATCAATAACCTATTGGGTCGCCAGAAGGCTGCTCATTTCACATTCAAACTGGGCATTTCCAAAAGGCACAGCAGCAAGAAACTCTTTAATTTTAAACTCTAAGAGTGGATGGAAACCTGCAAGCTGTCAATGATCTATAATTTATTTCAGTCCTGAAAGATTTGACAGTGCAGTTTGTTTTTACATGTCCCTGTTTTCAGGGCTGTGATGCTGTATTCAAAGACTCTAGGGAAGTGTCTGGCCCAGTTTATTGCCTTGTATCTTCCAATTTTATACTGTAAACGGTACCCCTTTTTAACACCATTGCTGTGAAGGCCATATTGGGATCATGACTTCATTTTGTTTATTGCAAACAGTCTTGAGTTTTGATGCTGCTTTGCACAGTGTGTCGTTTAACTGTATTGCTTTCTCGACTTTGGGTTTACCTCTGTATGACCGTCACTCTCTAGGACCTCTATGTGGGCCATTCTCTGCCCTACAGCTGCCTGAAATAACACATACACGCTGATCTTAATCGACAGGGTTGAACTCTCTCCCTGGTCAGCATTGTGCGTAGCAGTGGCGTACATGTGGGAGGAAGCTATCGAGTCCGGCAGGACCCTTCCCCCATTCACCCCGCCCATCCAGTCCAGCAGATGAGACACCTTTTATTTCCTCTGAATGTGTGAATCTGCCTTTACTGCCCCATTCACTAATGTCCACCCTTCTGTTTCCTTCTTTCAGCACCTTTCACCTTCTTCTTCAGCATTCTTTTCTTTAGGTCAACTTTTGACCCTGTGGTTAAAAGGGTCTTGGAAGGGTATGTCAGTGCAGGAGAACATGCGGGATCTATCAGTGGCAGGAGGCTAAGTGTCAAGTGGTTAATTCAAACATTTTAACTCAGTCAGACTTCAATACCAAATACGCCACCGAGGACTGCACAACAAGACTCTTTTTAGACCCTTGGATCCTGGGGAGAACGCATCCATGTGCATCTTGGCTTCCTCATTGTGTTCTGATATGGCTAATCGTGGAGTAAAATAGAGGAGGAAAACATATGGAAGTGTGCAAACATTCCCTAGGCGATCAAGCTGTAATTATGCCCAGCCATCAGCCTGAATTTTGTGTGCCGAGTTAGACTCAACCATTATGAGGAGGGATGAAATGGAGTTCACTTTCGGATTCATCAAGTGCCAAATTGCTGCTGCTTCTCTGGGTACTTTACTTGAGTATGGTCCAGCTGCTCACAACAACCTGCCTGACAAGTGCCGCCTACCCGGAATGGTCCGCCTCACACAAGAGCCTTGTCACATGGCTGTTTAGCTGTCTTATGGTTTTTGTCATTTTTAACGCTTCTCTTTAATTGTGCGTATCAATGTTCTCAGCCCTAGCAGTTTTGCGCTAGGTCATCTCCTCCCGCTGCCATTTTTTTTTTTAGGTTAGCATCTGCGTGCTCCCTTGCTCTTTTCTTCTTTCATCCTGGAGAGCGAGGGGAGAATCCTGATGAGTGCTCGCCAAAAGATGACAAAAGACAGACTGACAGCGTGATTTGTTCCACTTGCCCCCTTCTCTCTTTCCCTTTTCTTTTGCTCACACATGCACGCTTGCACCTCATTAGTTTGCTAAGAATGGATTGCCGCCTGCCTGTGCTTGGGGGAGCGGTTGTAATTACCTGTGTGTGTGGCACAAACCCTTTTGTAATATCTAAAGGCAGCTTTCTGACAGAAGATGCTGAGAAGGCAGCTTCTGGTTTTTTTCCCACTGACAAAAGGAACAGACATTGCATTTATTTAGATAGTCCATAACACCAAAGAAACTGATGATGATTTCGAAAATTAATTCAAGAACTGCCCTTTGATTTCAGACTTAGTCAGATAAGCTTGTAACTGATGACAGTACTAAACACATTAGTGGAATAGCACAATGTGCTCCTGATGCCTTTCTTCTCTTTCATTCACTATAGCTCACGTTCCTGCAGTAGGCCGCTTAGCTTTCCTGAAACGTGCAAAAGGATTGCACTCATTGTGCTAAACCGCTTTAAATCAACACCTGAGTCATACACTTCCTGCCTAATGCCACCTATAGAAGGCCTTTCTACGAATAATTTTACAAAAAGATTTGATTTGTGTCTTTGTTCTCCCACCCATATACACATACCTAATACACACTTGCACTATGAAAATGTATATTTCCTATTGAGGAATGTTGTGTTTGAGAAAGAAGTTACAGTGATTGTCACTTGCTCGCTTTCTCATCCCGTACATTTTTTTCTATCTGTTATGTCTTAGACACACACTTGAGTGCCAAGCTTGTCTCTGAGGGGCTGAGCTGAGCAGTGGCATGCTTTATTGCATAGCGACTTTTCTGATGAAGATATAAATAGCAGACAGGTTGAGCCATGGAGCAGCTGAGTTCCAGCTCTAGATCCATGCTACAGTCGCTAATAGGAGAAAACCTGGTGGTGGTGGGAGTGAAAGATAGAGAATAAACAAGAACAAAAGACTGTTTGTCATCTTAGTTGATTCTTTGGTGGTGCGCTAAATTTTCACAGCGTGCTTGGATAAATGCCTCTTTCCCTTTTCTTTTGCTCACACATGCACGCTTGCACCTCGCGCACCTCATTAGTTTGCTAAGAATGGATTGCCGCCTGCCTGTGCGTGGGGGAGCGGTTGTAATTACCTGGGTGTGTGGCGCATACCCTTTTTTCATATCTAAAGGCAGCTTTCCGACAGAAGATGCTGAGAAGGCAGCTTCTGCTTTTTTTCTACTGACAAATTAGCATTCCTCAGACATTGCATTTATTTAGATAGTCCGTAACACCAAAGAAACTGATGATGATTTCGAAAATTAACTCGAGAACTGCCCTTTGATTTCACACTTAGTCAGATAAGCTTGTAACTAATGACAGTGCTAAACACATTAGCGGAATAGCACAATGTGTTCCTGATGCTTTTCTCCTCTCTCACTTACTACAGCTCACATTCCTG